ACCTATATTTTTGTACCATATCTGGATCATTTCGTGGTTGTCTATATTGACGACATCTTGATCTATAGCAAGACCCTAGAAGAGCATGCTGAACACTTGACGAAGGTGTTTGAGAAACTAAGGGAACACCAGCTGTATACTAAAGAGAGCAAATGTGACTTTGCTTAACAAGAAGTAAAGTTTCTCAGGCATGTGGTGAGCAAAGACGGGCTTAAGGTGGACCCTGAGAAGGTCCAAGCGATCCAGAATTGGGAACGACCATCAAATGTACACAAGTTAAGGGCATTCTTGGGGCTATGCAATTACTACCAAAAGTTTATCAAACACTATTCGAGAGTAGCTCTACCTTTAACGGACCAAAAGAGAAAAGGGAAGATGGTATGGATGGTGGAATATGAGGCGGCATTTGTCCATTTCAAAGGGAAATTGAGTAAGGCTCCCGTGTTGGCATTACCAGAATTTGGTAAGGACTTTGAGGTAAAAACGGATGCTTCAGACTTTGCGTTGGGCATAATGTTGAAGCAAAACAACCATCCAGTAGCGTTCTTCTCGAAGAAGTTGGATAAGGCTCAGCGAAAGTGGCCTACCCACAAGAAGGAATTCTTTGCGAGTGGTCAAGGCACTCAAGGAGTGGCGATACTACCTTAGGAGACACTTCAAAGTTTACATAGACAATGTGGCAATGAAACATTTCTTGTCACAGACCGACCTGAGGGGGAAACAGGGTCGATGGGCCAATGCTTTGGCCGAGTTTGATTGCGAGATTCTGTACAAGCTTGGGAAGAGCAACATCATGGCAGATGCTCTAAGTCGAAAAGTGAGTTTGAAGTTGGCAATATCTAGCATAATAGCAACCTTTTGGGATGATGTGCGGACAGTATATGAGAACGATGGTCTAGCACAAGAAGTGTTACTGAGGAACCTAGAGGCGTAAGAAGCTCACCAAGGAGATGAGTTGCTAATGGAAGAGAAAACAGGCTATGCAAAATGCAATGGACTCATCTGTTATAAACAAACGAGGGTGTATGTTTCAGAAGGGGAACTAAGGAAGGTAGCCTTAGAAGAGTATCATGACGGACCTCTTGCGAAACACGGCAGAGTGCCCAAGACGATGGGCTTACTCAAGAGGAAGTATCACTGGCTAGAAATGGCTAAGGACGTCCAAGACTATGTAAAGCCATATCCAACATGTCAGTAGGTTAAAGCTGTGACTAAAGCTAGTGGGAGCTTGTTACAAAGCATCCCAATTCCAGATTGTCTGTAGAAATGTCTTACGATAGACTTCATCATGGGACTCCCCCCAAGTGAGGGGTTCGATACGATATTCGTGGTGGTGGACCAATTTTCAAAGATGGCACATTTCATACCCACCACAACAGAAGTGGATGCGGAAGGTGTGGTGAAGCTATTCTTCTAATAAGTGGTTTGAGTGTGGGGAAGGCTAAAGGAGATCATCTCAGATCGAGATAAGATCTTCATCAGTAGGTTTTGAAGAACTCTCCTGGAACAATATCGCACCTAGTTGAAATTCAGCACAGCCTATCACCCACAGAGAGGTATTGGGTAATAAGTCAAGTTGGATGGCACTAACACTTCTTGACAGATGGACAAATGGAAAGGGTGAATAGGTAGTTGGAGGATTATTTGCAATGCTATGTCTCTGGAGACCAGATTGATTGGGTAAGTCATTTGGGACTTGCGGAAATGTGCTATAACAACTCATCACACTCAAGTATCGGGGTGAGTCCATAGGAAGTCATCAATGGGTGAGTTATTGAAGGTCTTGTGGAACTTGGCATGGCCAAGTATCATGGAGAGTTACCTGCAGTGAAGGCATTTACGGTGGAAAGACTCAACATTTGGAATCTAGTGAGGGATTCCTTGGAACAGGCTTAACAAAGGTAAACCAAGTATGCAAACCAGAAGCGTTGGGATGTAGAGTTCCAACCTGGGGAGAAGGTGTGGTTAAACATTAAAAACCTAAGGCTACCAAGTGGCATTAGCCAGAAGCTGACCCAAAAGTAAAATGCATGTATTCATAGAAATGAATTGATCCTAAGTACCTTAAGTAGATTTGCGGGGCTTTACGAGATTGAGGCACAAATTGGTAAGGTGGCTTACCAACTCCGACTTCCTCGAGAGATGGGGAAGATGCACCCTATGTTCCATGTGAACTTACTCAAGCCATACTTTGAGGATCCGCTTCACAAAGACCAAGTAAGACCTTTACCTAAGGTTATCCAAGGGGAAGAGGAATATGAAGTCGAGGTCATCCTTAATGCACGCAAGAGCAAGCGACAAGGACGCGAGGTGAGAGAGTTCCATGTGAAGTGGAAAGGATTTCCACACTGCGAAGCAACATGGGAACCGAAAGAGAACCTAGCGAACGCGCGAGATCTAGTGGAGGAATTTCTGCATGGCAGAACTCTATGTACTTATGCAAAGTTCAATTAAAAGTATCAATTTGAGAAGTTGAGCAATGGCATATGTTGGGACCCGAAGGCGCGCCGAAGGTAAGCTAATTAGCATGGGTTAGCTAGGTTGACCAGGCGTAGGGAGCTACGCCCGACTCCCTGCGGGGATGTCGAATCCGTAGATGTATTCTACGGAGGTTGGGTTCGAGTCCTAACCCCCTAGTAAAGCAAGGCTGGGTTCAAGTCCCGACCCTATACTAGGGCGTGGTGAGGTGAGGAGTATAGGGACACCTATATTCCGTTGTCATGGGCTCTTGGCCGGGGAGGCTAACTTAGGCACACCGCTAAGTGGGGGGATGCCCCCGGAGACATGGTCAACAAGTCGTTCTGCAAACACTCAGGATCTAGTGGAGGAATTTTTGCAAGGTAGAACTTTATGTACTTATGCAAAATTCAATTAAAGAATCTATTTTGAGAAATTGAGCAATGTCATGTGTTGGGACCCAAAAGCGTGCCGAAGGTAAGCTAATTAGCATAGGTTAGCTAGGTCGACCAGGCATAAGAAACTACACCCAACTCCCCGCAGGGATGTCAAATCTGTAGACGTATTTTACAGAGGTTGGGTTCAAGTGCCAACCCTCTAGTAAAGCAAGGCTGGGTTCAAGTCCCAACTCCATACTAGGGCGTGGTGAGGGGAGGGGTGTAGGGACACCTATACTTTGTTGTCCTGGGCTCTTGGCCAGGGAGGCTAACTTAGGCACACCGCTAAGTGGGGGGATGCCCCTGGAGACATGGTTAACAAGTTGTAAGATTAAAAAAAGGTGTTTGATATGGGCATCAAACTTCTTCTATGGGTGGTGGAGTTGTAAGGAATTAACTCCCCAAGGGGTCAAAGGCTAAAGGATCCTCGAAAGCATGACTCGGTCTCGAACTCGATCTCAGACTCGATCTCGGACTCGATCTCGGACTCGATCTCGGACTCGATCTCGGACTCAATCTTGGACCCAATCTCGGACTCAGTCTCGGACCTAATATCGGATCTCAGACTCAGTGTCGAACTCAGTCTCGGAGTTGGTCTCGAACTCAGTCTCGGAGTTGGTCTCAAACTCAGTCTCGGAGTTGGTCTCGAACTCAGTCTCGGAGTTGGTCTCGAACTCGGTCTTAGAGTCGATCTTGGACTCAATGTCAGACTCGGTCTCGGGCCTGATATCGGATCTCGGACTCGGTGTCAAACTCGGTCTCGGAGTTAGTCTCGAACTCGGTCTTAGAGTCGATCTTGTACTCGATCTCGGACTCGGTCACATCCGATGAACTTACTGCCTTGGCTTTAGCTAAGTTCCCTTGCCAAGGTTCCCACTTATTGTACTAGCTCTTACTTAGTCTTGCTTGGTTTCAACTACTCACTGCACGAGCAACGGAGCATTAGCCATCCATCCACGGATTCCCAAATCTCTCCCAATCCCCCTCCCCGGGTTAGATTGGATTTAAAGTTCGGCTACACTCCCTGCAGGAACAAGCAGTCAAGCACACCAAGCCTCTAGATTCTTAACATCCTTTGGTACAACAAGACTCGATCATGGGACCCTCTAAGTCCTAAGTCTTGGGTGCAACATTTGCTTCGGGACGCTGGGGGGAAACATCGTGGCCCAACGGCCTGGTATAGGTACCTCTACCCCCCCACTTCCATCCTGAAGGGAAGGCCCAAGCCCCTAGGAAGGGCGAGGACTAATGATCCCCAAGGTACTCAAGGGGGGCCCCCCTCCCCCCGAGCCGGGAGCCCCGTATTGGGTTTCCCTTTGGGGAGGGGGAGCTGTTTTTGAGCACTTCCCGGGGGGGCCCCTTGGGCCCCATTAAAGCCCATGTTCATTCCCACCCAAGGCCCTTGGGCCCCAATTTCAACCTAAAGTGGGTTTGGAAGCCCCCCTAGAGAGTTTTTTTAAGACGGGTTCCGGGACCCCACTATCCCTAATATATTTTGGGAACCCCCGGGAGCCCCCCCCCCCCCCCCCCCGGGAGACACACGCTTTGGGCTTTCACCCCCAATATTAGTCAGATAGACGAGATAAGCTGGCAAATTAGATATGTGATAATTATGTATTTTCAAGTTTCACAAGTTTTGCAAGAATGTGCCTACCTTGTAATGTTGATTGCAATATTTATGTGGGGATTGGAGTTACTAGATTGGCTAGAAGATGGCACATCTTAATAGTTTATACTAAACCAAAGCAAAAAGGAAAGAAAAATTGTTGTTGTCTATCATGTGTTGCAACAAGGGGAGCAAAAGGTTATTTCTTCACCAAATCTATTTTTTATAAGCATAGGAAAACACTTATTCTCACTAAAAATGCACAAGCTAGGATGGTGGAAAATTATAGAGTGGATTTTGGGGGAAAGTCAAAACCATATAATCCAGTAAATGGGTTTGGATATGATTTGTGAGAAAACATCATATTTATCACTAATGATGTTAGAAGTAGTGATACCTATCATCGTTTTTCCAAACGAAAGAACAAAAACTAATTGGAAATCCAGGTACTTTGGTGGAACGAAGCTTTCATTGGAGCTTATGGAGGAATTGCTGCTGACTGCCTCAAAGACGCACCAACGCACATTGTCAAAGCAAAGGTTTTCTTATGTAGTTTGGTGTTGTCTACTGACTTGCATCGAGTGTGTAGATCTACCTGGTTCTCAAGCCTGGCTTTGATCATCTTGGAGATGTGTACCCTCTCCTAAGCATTGGTGTTATTAGTTTCGATCTTTATGTCTTGATGGGCAACGAATCCAGCTTCAGCTTCAGCTTGCACAAGTGTGGCATCAAAAGAGGAGGCTGTGCGACTTTCGGGGAAACGTGAAGGAAAAGTTCGGTCACTGGAGAGAGGAATGGCTATACATGCCGAAGCTGCTAAAGGTGGTGTCGAGTTGGAGTATTTGGTCGCAAACACGCTGGTGGATTTCTACGTCAAATGTGGGAGCTCAGCAGACGCTCGCAGAGTTTTTGACAAGATGCCACTGCACGATGTCGTGTCCTGGACGGCGCTGGTGCTGGGCTACGCTGGAAACGGTGAAGGCCAGGCGGCCTTGGATCTCTTAGAGGACATGCAACGTCGGGGCTGTACACCGAATGCTTAAGCTCACTACTTTGAGTGCATTGTTAGAGGGACAAGAAAGCAAACGAGAAGAAATCCTGGCGATCTGTCTCCAGTAAGTGACGATGATCTTTTTTCTTCATTCTTTTTTGCTGATGCCTGTGTTTGGTTTCAGTGGTGTTTCCCCGACAAAAAAGGTAGCAGCTACCTCTAGAGATGTTTTGCAAGAGAAGAGCGAGAAGATGGACGTCTCTCCAAAGCAAAGCTTTGAGAAACGAGATGGCGATTCCTCTCGGTGCAACGGCGGCTGAAATGGTTGAAGTGGCTGACAGAAAATTACCGCCCTTTCAGTACAGTGCGAAGAAGCTACCATGCACTCCTCATGCAAGCGCTGGAAATGGCGGCGATCCCAATCCGAACTGGCTAGTCGACAACAAGTATGTATCACCAGGAGATAGCTTCTGGGACGAGGCAATACGCGTCCTTGGGAGCAAGAAGGGTGACTGCTCGGAAGTTAAGTCGCGTATCAACCCTGACGGCCCGAATTTATTGAACTCTCCGCTACCGGTCGTGTGCTTCGACTTTGCGAGTCATGACAACGTTGGCAAAGAAGCTGCTGCAGCTCCCACTGAAGAAGGAAAGGCAATCGTGAACGATCCGTCGTCCTCAGTCTCCGGTGAGAAGTTGTCCGATTGGCTTCCGGCTGAATTATGTGAAGGATGCTTTCGGAAAGCGGTTAGAAGACTGTATCAATGGCAGGTAAGCCAACTGTTTGTGATTTTAGTGCCTACTTACAAGAAACTACAGGTTGATTGTCTACGCCTTGATGGAGTTTTGGATGGTAAAAGTCTTGTTTACTGTGCCTCGACAAGGTGCTTGAGATTTCTTATTTAGTTTTCTTTTATGGTAATCCTTAAAGCTTTTTGACAGTGCAGGAAAGAGTCTTGTTGCAGAAATTTTGATGTTAAAAAGAGTGCTGGCGACAGGGAAAATGGCAATGCTGGTTTTACCATATGTCGCGTTGTGTTCTGAGTAGGTATGCTTGGTTTTGTTTTGTCAAAACATCAACTGGTTTTTACTTTGCTAGACAGAGCATTTAGAGGCGTACTGGAACATGTGTCCGTGGATATTTTGGGACTCACGGGAGTAAAGCGCTACCTCCAGATACGTCACTTGCAGTTCGTAGCATCAAAAAGCGAACTCACTCATCAATAAGGTGGTAGAGGACGGGCGGCTGTCCGAACTAGCAGTCGTAGTTATAGATGAGGTTCATATGGTATGTATACTGACTTCCCAATATCTTTCTTATAACAGTCTGGTGCAGGTTGGAGATAAAGAGAGAGGTTATTTGCTAGAACTAAGCTACGACATGGGGCCGGTAAAAGTGACTATGAAAGCAGCAGCCCCACGAGGTTGCAAATTATACGAATGAGTGCAGCGATGCCTAATGTAGCAGCCGTTGCATCATGGCTTCAGGTATTGCAATCTTTTATTCAAGTCTTACAGACCATGATGATAATTTGCAGGCTGCATTTTATGAGACTAACTTTCGCCCAGTTCCTTTAGACGAACACATTAAAGTCATTTACGATACTAGTATGAATACTGTTCGTGCTCTAAGAGCAGGCTCTGAACTTAGCGGCAAGGATCCAGATCACATCGTCCATCTGTGCCATGAGGTTACTTTTGTGTTTTGACAAAGACCTTTCACAGGTCTTACTGATTTCAGTTTGTGCTCTTTGTTGTCTAGGTGGTTAGTAAGGCCATTCTGTGCTTTTGTTTTGTTCAAGTCGTCATGCCTGCGAAACCACTGCCCGACGAGATACAGGCAAATGGCTGGGAGAGCAGGAAGAGCAGGGATAGACACGCATGGCGAGAGTGTAAGACTTGTCTCGTTTATGTATTCTGAAATTTGCCGAATGTTGGTTTTGCAGATATTAATCTGTAAAAGTGAGGAGCTTCCCATTCTGAAAGAAGGTTGTCAACCGTTGCAGTCATATCTCGCCGAGGAAAAGAATGGAATGATGAGAGCTCGTTTTGGAGGTGGGCACAGGATGTCAACCGCTCTGCACTCTTCTCAACTCTACACAGCCTTTTGATGAAGTCGTGAAGTCTGCTCAAGATTCTTTGCTGTGCCACAAGCGACTGATAGAGTGGGATCAGGAGTTACAGATCTACAAAATCAGTCCATTAGGAAAAGCAGCGTTTGGCAGTTCGCTCAGCCCGGAAGAATGCTTGGTACGTTCTCGCCCGTTTTTGCTGGCAATGACGAATTTTAATTATGCGGATGCAGGTTGTCTTTGAGGATCTTGCTAAAGCCCCTGATAGTTTTGTTTTAGCGTCGGATTTGCACCTTGTCTACGAGGTTACTCCTATTCACATGAAGCGTGTGTATTGACGCTTTTTTTGTGGCTCTTATATTGTCCAGGTATGTATGGTCGACCTTTGTTCCATAGTACTGAAGTTTCGCCACTAGGAAGTGCCGCTAATGGACGTCTGCAGTACGTTCAAGGTGCCGAGGGGCACCGTGCAAGCTCTTCGATTGTTTTACCTTTGTTTTATGTTTTCACAGGCTGCACGAGCTAGATGTTTATACAAAGCGGGCTTACGAACAGTTGAAGCTGTAGCTGAGGCTACAATTCCTGAACTTGCAAACGCGCTGCGTGATTCTTCATTCAAAGAACAGCAGTGGATGTACGCTGCAGCAGCAAAGACAATAAGAAACGGAGCAAGGAGAATTGTCCTGGATCGAGCAGAAGAGGTGCGAATAGCTGCTTTCTCGGCCTTTCAAGCTCTTGGAGCAACGATTCCGCATTCGCTGTCACAGTCTTTATATGCCAGTGTTGAGAGGCCTCAGGCTGAGACAGACGAGATGGCCATATCTCCAAAGCGAGACGAGGGCAAGGCTGACGTTCATAGCACTGACAGTTGGATTGGATGACAGCAAGAAAATGGTAAGCATGGCTCCAATGCGTTTGGAGGCTTGCGGAAAAGAAGGCCAGCACAGTGAAAACGGCAACATAAACAAAGTATTATATGCACGAGGGCAGGGCTCGTTTCTTTCTTTCCAGTATATTGGACTTCTTTCAAATAAAAAGTCACATCTTAGATCTGGAAACAAGGTTTTGATACATGCCCAGGCTGATAAGACTCGATTTCAGGACCAGTGGAAAATTCTTGTTGTGAATCAATTTAATACTATTGACATAGGTGCATTATACCTTCTCGGATCAATGGTATTCTCTCCTTTAATTCACATAACTACATCATGTATTCTTGGATTTCCATCTACATCTGTATTTGTCTTTTGTATTTCTTCCTCTATGTCTTTTAGCATCTTAAAGGCTTTAGCATAGGGATTTATATCTCGCAATAATATATCTAACTCCCTCATCAGCTCTTTATTGCATTTCATGTTATATTGATTTTTCATCTGTGCTTCAATGGCATGTAATGTACATCTCGACACTTCCATGTATCATGTGTTGGTCCTTTTGTGTCCATTTTTTAGAGACTCACTTATTGCTTGTTCTTTGAGCACTTTATTGAGAGTTGCACTTCAAGTCAGCATTTTTAGTCCAAATGTGTTACTCTTGTTTGGCTTCCATTTCAGCCATTACCACGTGGCACCCTTTTAGCTCCACTTTTGGGGCTTTAGGATTTGTGTCTCATAAATAGGTGGGGATTGTTATTTCTTTCAAGTGATATATTCGCAAGTATTTTATTTGTCAATTGATGATACTGTATTTTTTGAGCTGTCTTTTGTAAGTTATTTAGCATGCTATTTACAATCAATGGTAGTTAGGCTTTATCATTGAGTTCTCTTGATAATATACTTGCTATTGAAATTTTTTAGATAGTTAGTACTATAATTTTAACCTTTAATGATTTTAGTGGTTCCTATACATTAATTCTAGTTGATCAAATGATAACTTAATTAGAATACTTTTATTTTCTAATCTAAGAGTTATTCAATGATAATTTAGTCTTTAAAATATCATTATCTCTAACTTTGATATTATCCATTTATTGATTGGGCCAATATAGGTAGATTGACTTCAACACTTTATGTGCATAGTGAAATCTTTAGTCATGAGGTAGCTATTGTAGACTCGTCATATCACCCACCTTTCTCTCTTGATGTTTGTTATTTTGTATAAAGGGTGTGATTGTGTAAACAATTCTAACTGCCTATTTACAATAATCTATCTAAACCTTATCAATTTATTTGCTCATGAGTGTTAAGGCCTCTAGCTTCTCTCTCTATATAACCTATAGATAGGTGTAAGATATAAATCTCTAAGCCCCAAAGTGGAGCCAAAAGGAGGCCATGTGGCAATAGCCAAAGCAAAAGTCCAATGAGTGTAACACATTTGAACCAAAAGCTTCAACTCCTAAACTGGAATTCCCAAAAAATTGCTCGAGGAATGAGTATGAAATGATTAGTGAACGAGTCTCTACAAAAGGACATAAGAGGGACTAACACATGGCAAGTATTGTGACACATGGAAGTGTCGGGGCTGAGTTTGAGATGGAGTTTGAGAAGTAGTTTGAAATGGAGTTTGATAACAAGTTCAAATGGAGTCTAAGATGGAGTCTGACAAAGAGTCAAAGAAAGAGTCTAAGATGGAGGCTAAGACTGGGTCCAAGATCAAGAGCAAGACTAAGTTCAAGTCCAAGTCCAAATACTAATACAGGTCAAGGGGTGAAAGTTAAAAGCGATCATCCCCTAGGGGTGGGGGGGATGCAAGGGTCCAAAGGTATAGTAGGGAGAGTGTGGGGGTTGGACTTTAGTGGAATTAGTTTGACTAGGAAAGACCAGTATGTATGTCCATGTGTTAGGTGATAATATATCCACTAAAGAGTCCAAAGTTAAAGTGAATACAGACAAATAAATGGGGAAGCTTGTGAAGTGTTCAAGAGCCAACTCTAGTTCCCCTAGGAGATCAAATGGTTAATGCTCCTAGTCCAAGCGTAGGTGGCACTACCTACTTGTATATCTAGCGTGGCTCAACGAAACCTTGCTCTAAACCCATGGCTAGAGCACCTAAAGACAGAAGGTGGGGAGAGTACCCATGAGGCTTGCGTAGGGCCACAGTATTCAAAAATGTTGTCATAAAGTCCTAGATTGTGAAAAGGAAGATAAACAGTCCTCTGGTGTAGTGACCAAGGATACAGTCACATGGTGAGGAAGTCTCAAAGGACAATGGGACTTGGTGGTCGAGTCTGCAGGCCTTGACTCAATGGCAGTGTTGGCAAACATGGCCATGGACAAAAAGAGACTTGGTGGGGACTAAAAAAGGGATATTGGGGAAGGCTATTCCCTATGGGCATCCTAAAGATGCTAAGAAATGGATCTGAGATGATCACTATTGGATGGATGGCCCAGTCTTTGAGAGATAGGACTGTGATATAGGTGGTGTTGGATCACCGGTGTGACAAAAGTGAATGGGTATGGTTTTAGTGTAATGGGTTGATATGTCGGTGGTACCTTTGGGCGTCGGTCATGAGATTAGACACGTGGAGCACTTAGACCAAACGCAAAGATTAAGTGGCATGAATGTCATTCTGGGGGCTATCAAGCCCGAAGTCTAGAATAGGATTTATAAAAGTTATAAGTGAGACTCCTCCAAGTGGTGGTTAAGTGACTAAAGAAGAATGGAAAGTTTAGTCATTTACAATTTGGTATCAGAGCTATTCTTTAGTTTGACTTTTATTGGTGGTCAAGTATATCATCCCTTGTATTAGCATCAAAAAGTTTTAGGATTAGGCCTATCCTAGAGAAGTAGTATGTCAAGAGGACATAGCTTTCCACTCTAGTTCATATGTGAACTTGTACGCAATGTGGTGGATAGAAAGAGGCCAGTAAGGGAATGACTTTGGGATCTTGGGAACAATATAAATTTTCCTCAAAGAATGATCACGGAAAAGATAGAGACTCCAAAACAATAAAGGAGTCACAAAATTATCCTTATATAGTTGGGGCTGGTGCTCATGAATTTGAGACTAGAGTTAATGATTGTAGGAGGTTAAATATGAAGGAGGACACAAGTCCTTGAAATGATAGTTATGGCTACCTTTTATAAATGCTGGAACAAACCCAAGGAATTAGAGGTGTACTTAGAGGATGAGTTGGTATTATTATCATATGGATGGATAGTCCTAAGGGGCAAAGGTAGCCTACAGGGAATGAAAAAATAATCAAGTGTCAGAATAACACTTACAAAGGTGGTTCTTGTGAGTAGGACATGAATACAAGAAGTTGTATTCCAATAAATTAACACCTCAAAAATAGCTATGAAGCTAGGATTTTATGGGTTATCAAATTAACAAAGTCCAAAAAGCTGAATGACTCGAGTAGAGTCAAGGAATAGTCCTGGTGAAAGCATTTAGACTAAGGTGTGTTGCACCCTATGAAGGACAAGGATGATCATAAGATCCAAGTATGAGAACAGTAGGTATCTCATTGATGGTAAAATGTGTTATACTAAAGTTGTGGGAAAGGTGTTCTTGGAAGAAAGCAACTTTGGCATAAAGTTGCGTATAAATACCATAGTGCAGTGTTAATTGATAGTTAGCATGAGAAACGACTACTTTGGTCTTAACAAAAACCTAGACACAAGTGGAAAGTGTTGTAAAGATAGGCTTGTAAAGCCGATGGTGTGGAGATACCAAATGTGCCAATGTATAATGCCTTGAGGTCAAGTTAGCGTGTTCATGAGAACCTCTTGCCAAAGGAATCTCAATAAAAATAAGAATTGCATACCCTAAGCTAAAAGGTATGCAGTTAGAGTGTGGTGACCCAAATAATGAAAAAAGTGTGGAAACACTAGTAATGAATTGTAAGACTTGATAATTATGAGACAACTAAGCAAAAGGTGCAAAATAATTAATTAGATTGGTAGAAGTTAATTACCCAAAACTTCTTATGGGGATAAAGAGGTTAAATATACCCCTCCGGGGGATAAATTGTTTATGTTGAGATATAGTTAGAAGGAGAATAACTAAAGGGAAAGCATAATACCACAAATAAGTAGGGAAGGTGAAATATTCCTATAGTTCATGTTAGAGATCTTGTTTTTGTGTGAATGATCTTTGCAACCATTGGTATAGTATCTCTATGGCAAAAAACATAGCAGTAAAAGGAGAAACTGTGGGTTATAGTGGATCAATTAACAAAGTAGATGTGGTTGTTGGCTCTTTAGAAGACTATTATTGCTTTAAACTTAATTACAGTTTACTTGGAGAAGGTCTTTCTTGATTTAATTTATTGGAGGACATTGTTAGTGATTGAAATTCAAAGCTCACTAATGGATTTTTTAAG